GTGAGGGGGGTGTTGTTGTGTGAGGGGAGTGTTGCGTGAGGGGGGTGGTGTTGTGTGAGGGTGTTGTGTGAGGGCGCGGCGGCGGTTCCCCCGCGGCCCCTCACGCTCCGTGTCTCTCCCGCAGCTGCTCCGTGCGGTGCTGCCGGACCCACCGCGGTGAGTAGGGGCCGGGAGGGGCCGGGGCTGTGCCGGGGCTGCCCCGGGGCTGACGCGCTGTGTGTCCGCAGAGCGCTGCGCGCCGAATCCCAGCGGGGAGCGGGACAAGGGGCAGGGACCCCCCGCGGCCCCGCCGAGCCCCGCACATGGCCCCTGGTCCTTGGAGGACATCCTGGGCGAGGAGGACGAGCAGGACCGAGTCCCGCTGCAGAAACTCAAGCTTTTAGGTGAGTTTAGGGAATTCGGGACTCAGCCGGGTGCGGGGCTGGTGGGGCTTTAGCAGAAATGCTCCCCCTTCCCACGAGTTCTGCGTGGAGCTGCTCCCAGCCGTGCAGCTCGTTGCAAGGCCTTAAAGAATTAAATATCAGATATTTGGCCCTTCACCAGTGTCTTTGAAAGTTTATTTGCAAAATAAGGGAGGTGTTAACTTTGTTTGTAACCTCTTGAGATTACTTACTACCATTCATCGTGTTTTCTTTTTAAAGGGGAGTCAGAAGAACTGAAGGGTTTGCTGCTGAACCCACACCTCCGGCAGCTGCTCCTCACCATCGACCAGGCAAAAGACAAAAGCTCCCTCATGAGGAGGTTCATGCAGGAGCCCCTGTTTGTGGAGTTTGCAGATTGCTGCCTGAGCATTGTGGAGCCTCCCGAGAAGGAGAACATCCTCCCCGAGTGAGCCCGTTTTCCTTTCCCTGAGGTCTTGTGCTGCAGAGCTGCTCCATTCGGTGTCTCTCCTCGGGGTCTGGTCTGTGATTTCAATTTGGAGTTGACAGTGAGAGATTTCTAGAGACTGGGGCTTGAACTTGACACTCTGTGGACCTGCTTTGTGTGGGTACAGAAATGCTGGCAGCCCGTGGGAAACGTTACTTCACAGCGACAACATTAAATATATTTGCGTTTATTTTTAATCAACAAATACTCTGCCATGTTTTTGTTCATTGTTTGGGGTGGTCAGACACCTTGACAAGGCATTGAGCAGATTCTTTAAAATGACATACACGGAGGAGCTGAACATTTTCGAGACCCAGGAGCAAGAGAAGGACGGTACAGAAGCACCTCTGATGAGACCCCTGGCAGGGCAGTGCTGTTTGGGGAGCTCTGGAAATGCCTGGCAGCTGTGAGAGCTCAGAGATTTTGGTCAGAGAGAAAAAAAAAAAAAGCAAGAGCCCAGTCTCGCTTTTCCCTGAGACATCTGCCCTTAGTGTGACATTGGCTGCTCCTCCCTCCCTCAGTCAGTCAGGGTTGTACCTCTGAGAATCCAGCAGGAATCAGGAATGTTTGCATTATTTGCTCCCTCATGACCAGCCTCTTGCTTCGCCAGGTAGTGCCAGCAGCGTTCAGTTCAAGTATTTATTGTTTAAAGCACCTGATCTGGTTTAACTGATTGTTCTCATAGCGCTGATATTTCCTGCAGCGTGTGCTGTGTGGAGGAGCGGCCCCCACGCCCCCCAGATTTGATGTGTATTATGTTACATTGCATTTTAGGCACAAGGCATTGAGGTGAAAGCTCTGAGGTAGCAGCAGATGTGGCCGTTGGGTGATTTGGAAGCAGCAGCTTGCAGAGAGCCCGTCCCTGAAGGGCAGAGGTGTGCAGGGGCCAGGCCTATGTGGGCAGGAGTTCCTTTCTGTCCAGCAGGATCTGGTTGAATCCCGTGATGGAACAGGCGTCCCTGTGGGGGCTGACGTTGGAATAGTGCAGGGGGGACTTCCTGCAGTGGAACCTGACAGAGCCCTGCAAGGAAGAGAGGTGGAGAGCTCAGCTGGGGGCTTGGCCAGCTTTTGAGGTCATTCTGTTGTTCATGTTCAGTGTTCATGAGCAGCTAGTGACTATGAGGATAGAAGAGGACCTCCAGAGGAGTTTTAGTACAAATGGATTTAAGAGAAGTCAGTGCCAATACTGTAATTTTAACTGGAATTAACTTAAACTCTGGAGATTCTGTAGTAGATTTAGTACTGAACTTGCTACTGCTCCTACCTGCTTGCAGTGACTGGGACCAGTTCTTGCACCCGTTTTATGCAGCCTCAGAAAAGTTACCCAAAAAACCCCCAAGGTGATTTGTAACGAGGTGCAGTTTCTGAGGGCACCTTGTTGGCAGGAAATGGTATCCAGGACGATTCCTGAACCCCTGGCACCCTGCCTGTGCTGACTGGAGTCTGGGAGGTGGGTTACCTGTGGGAGAGCTCTGATGGAAGCGATGCCACAGCCCAGGGAAGAGCTGTCCAGCCTGGAGCTGCCGCTGCCCTGGAGCCCCCTGAGCCAGCCCAGCAGGGCCAGGTCCCTGCGGGGCCCCGTGGCAGTGACAGGGGCAGCAGCCAGGACGAGGCCCAGGGGCCAGAACTGGACAATGGCCTGCAGAGGCCACGCTGTGTCCAAGGAACAAGGCAGCTTGGCCGGGATCACCGTGGCTCCAGCAGCTGGGAACTCCTTCCCTTCCCCCTCGTCCAGTTCTGCCGCTGCCAGCGCGGCCATCTTTGCCTGGTGAAGATAAGGAGCAATATTCAACAAGGTTCTCAGACATCTTGAGCAGAATTGAAAGAGGCTAGAAAGGAGGGAATCTGAAAGGGCAGCAGACTCTTTGGGGCATTCCCATGAGGGTAAGGAGTGGGTTTATTCTGCAGAACAGAAGCAGCTGTGCAGGACTGGCATCTTCAGCTGGAGAAGGGTTTACTGGAGCACTGACAGAGCTGCTTTTGTAATTAGTTGAGGCAGAGTCGTAACTACTAAGAGGGAGATTCCTTCTAAAAATGAAAGCCTCAGTGAGTGAGCTTGTGTCCCTTCCCTGTCCCCACACCCTCACCTTCCATCTCCTCCAGCAGCGCTGGATGACGTTGGCAGCCCCGCGCATCCTTCGGAACCGGCTCCTGGCCAGCCAGGAACGGACAGCTGAGGAGTCAGTGGAAACAAAGCTGAGTACAAACCACCCCAGGAGCTCTGGCACACAGTGGAAGAGGTGGCACTTCACCGCCCCTGCCACTGTAATCCCCCAACAGAACTGGAAACGTTCCTTGTTGTGTTGTTCCAGCCACACCCTCGCGGAGTTACCTGCTTGGATGACAGTTGCAGACCGTTTCTCCTTTGCCAGTTTCCTCTGCTTAAATCTCCTCCAGCAGCACTGAATGCAAAATGCTTTCTCATTTAACACCTCTGCTCTCCTGGCTTCGAGTAGCTCCAGCTGCAGTGGGGACAGGAGCTTGGAGTTAGTACCCAGGGCTCTCAACTCTTCCCTTTTCTGCAGCCTCTTGGTGTTTGTCAGAGAGCCACATCCTCATTCCAGTGTCCTGTGACTGCTGCATTAGGTGTTAGAAGTGACAGCACTCCATTAGTGCTTATGAGATAATATGGAAACAGAAATGGGAGTAGTTGGGGGGTCACAGTAGCAGCTGGCTTAAACCCACTGCTTAAATCCACTGAAGGGGGTTCTTCTGTGGCTGCATCCTGCAAGCTTGGCAAAGGTCCCTTTGACTCCTTCATCTGTTTCCCCAAGGAAGCTCTGTGGGCCAGCTGGAGTAGCCAAATCTATCAGCTGAAGGTAAGGAAAGCTGTAATCTTTCCTGGAATGGGAAGAAAACTGACAGTTGTAGACACAAGTGCAGCTCCTTGTCCCTTGGCTCCACAGATGCCATTAAACAAAGTGCTTCTGAGGGCTGGGTTCTGCTGGCTGCTTGACTGACTTGAGTAATTGGAAGGAAAATGCCCAATTCTGGTCACACTGGCTTGGCAGGAGCATTATTGCTCCCACCCTGGTGATCCCTGTGCCAGAATCCCCATCAGGCAGCTGAGCCCCAGAATTGTCAGCCAACTTACCACAGAACTGGCCAGGAACACTTTGGTCTTCCCACAGTACACCGAGGGGGTTCCTGCTCCACTCCCTGTTTGCTCAGCAGTGGTTTGTCCCACAACAACATTCTGAAGGATCTCAAGAGCAGCAGAACGTGAGGCTTTGTCCTCCTCCATCACCGCAGTCTCTCCTGGAAGTGAAGCATTGAGGAGCAGGAGTCACAAGGCTTGGAAGTTAGGACCAAGGAATTGTCTTGACTCTGGGATTTCTGGGCCATGTAGTGGGGGAAAACCTCCAGCAGGAGGGGAGGAGGTGATGGCTGAGGGCACTCATCTCACTGTGCTTTGGGGTAAAACGGGACAGCACGGATTTCACCAGGTGCCAGCAAGCAGAAAACCACCGTAGGGTGTTTTAACTGGGAACAAAGAACAAGAACAAGGAATTGGACTCAGCCTTAATGTACTGAAAGGTGCAGGAGGGGAAACAACTCTCCCCAATTCTCCAGCTTTCCCGGGGCATCGGAAGCAGCTACAGGGGTCGTGCAGTGAGCAGAATTTACTGCAGCAATTAGAGGTTATTAAAGCCATTTCTGGGACACAGTGCACAGCTTTTTACATCATGAGACAAACAGGTTGGCCAGATGAATCTAACTGGAAATAGACTTAGCTCAGAGCTGCCCTTGGAAGAGATCGAGGCAGTGCTGCAGGAGTTCCTGCGATGGGCTTTGCATCATTCCATCCTGGATACTGTTTGCTTTTCTGCTATAAATATTTCTAAGGAGATGAGAGCATTTTAAGGTACTGAAAACAAATAGGAGCAATTCTTGCCTACAGGAAGACATCTGGTGCCTGTGATGGTGTTCCTGGGGCCGGGCTGATAAGGGAACCCAAAGCTTATCCCCGTGTTTGGGAAATTTGTTTTGCTTTGTTTGCAGCTTATTACCCCCCTAAAGATAAAAAGGAACTAAGAACCTATCACAGAGAGGGTTTGCAGCTAATGGGTTTGTAATTGAGGGGGAAAGATACAGTGTGTAAGTGATTTTCCAGCCTGTACTTCCTTCCTTCGCTCCATTTCCAGCCGGTGAATGGATATCCAGACATTTCACTTATCTGAACAGGCTGGTACTTACTGGTCCTGCTTCCCACTGGTGATGGAACAGACCCACTGGGTGAAGGTGGGATTAATTTGGGAGAGAGAAGGGGGTTGCAGGGACTTTCAGTATTAAATGTAACCTCCTGGTGAGCTCCTCCTTTTAGGGGTTGATAGCAAAGGCATTACCTTGTAGACGGGGTTGTGGGTTTGGGGTTGTGGTTTTTAAAGTCCATCCTCGCTCTTGCTTAGAAAAAGAGAAGTTTGCAAAAGGTGGAAGAAGCAGCAGAATCCAGGTAAGCTGGAGGGTCAGTGATTCAGCAAGG